ATTTTACTTATCGGTGTACATTTATTGATTTATAATGAATTTTACTATTCTGGTTGTTATTAATTTGTATGGTCATCGTTAAAATGAGTTTATATATATATATATATATATATATATATATATATATATATATATATATATGGCGGTATTCGACTCCGTTGATCGAGAAGTCTTATGTCAATGTCTCTCAGTGAAAGGTGTGCCGAGTAAATACATTACCTTATTGAAGGTTTTCTATTCGAACACTTTTGGGCATGTTAAAGCCTATGATGAGATGTCCGAGGAGCTGTGCTCGTCAAGTGTTGTCCGTCGAAGGTGCCTACTCTCTCCATTTTTATTCAGTTTTATCATAGATATTCTTATGGAGGTCTCCATCTCGTCACCTGATTACACAGGCGTTGACCTAATCACGGGAGAATTTTCGTTAAATCTACAATGTGCAGATGACATAGTCCTGTTAGGTGAAGATGCTGACAAGATGGAGAGTCTTCTGGATACTTTGAGTGGCAATTTGAGAATGTTTTGCGAATGCGCTTCTCAGCATCGAAATGCGAATTGTTGCTTCAGGATTTATCTTGAACAATGCATAGGTTAAGAATATAGAAAGTAATGGTTGAGTGTGTTGACCACTTCACTTACCTGGGAATCGAATTGGGATCATTCCTGGTGGCTCAGTGGCCAATGAAGTATCTGCATGAATAAAAAAGGCTCAGCTGGCTTTTCCTCACTTACGCCATCTGTGGCGCCGCCGTGATAACCGATTGTCTATTAAGAGTCGCGTGTACTGCACAACAGTCTGTTCTGTTCTACTGTATGGCTGTGAAACATGACATAGTAATATAAGTGTCGTTAATAATAGTCCTACTTACTAATAGTAATCATAGTGATAGGGTTAACAGAGAATTTAAAGCCTCCGCTGTGTTACCATACAAGGAACATACCTCAGAACTATTACAAAGAATTCTCAATAAGTGACGAAATATGCCCATTTATTCATAAGAAGAGGACATATATCAGCGAGGAAATATTTCTTTTCAATGACATCATTATCAAGTTGTCTTTTTATCGAATGTAAACATGACTGTACAGCTTGATAATGAAGTCGTTGGAAAGAAATATTTCTTCACTGATACATGTCTTGTTCTTATTCAATTTTCAATAAGGCTAGGATTAGAGTGGCATTTACAGCAACATTTATTATTATTATTATTATTATTATTTTCCCTTGGGTTCCTAGCGGAACATAGGGCTTCAGTAGCAACAAGCTCACTTCGAAACAAGCTCTATAGGTTAAAAGATCTTATCGGTACAATTAAGCAAAATAATCTGGTTTATCAAATCCCTTGCAATGATTGTAAGGTTTTAATACATGAGTAAAACTAGTCCACTGAAGACTAACTTCGTTGGGTGGAAGGAGGGAGGGATTGATAACCGAATTTCCCTTTATCCAACCAACACCGAATACATACAGTAGCTGCAGCTGCTTCAACACTACGGTTTCAGTGCCACAAACCTTCATCAACCTCATTCAACACCTATATATCATACTACGTGCCAAATGATTCACAATGGAAAGCACAGTGACGCCTATGAAGTGGAGTGAAGGCAGGAGTAGGACGAGGTTGCTGCCTACCATCATCAGTGATCTTCGTGATTGTGGTCGACCTCACTGGACTAGACTAGATCATGCAACCGACAACTGTGAGGAGTGAGAAGATGGGCATACGCTGGCTGGATTTCGATTTCTCCAACGATGATGATGATTTATGTCTAATGTCTCACAAACTCGAAGATGTACAAACGAAAACTAACAAGTTGACATAAGAGGCAGCTAAGACGAGACTTCCTTGAGGTGAATATAGAGAAGACAGAGGTAGAGGTGATGAAAATACCCAACCGACCAACCAACAATAACAACAACAACAACAAGCACTAATCACCATGAACGGGAGAAATCGAAACGAAGTTGTCTCTTTCACCTATCTACCTACCTAGGCGACGTCGTTTCAGCTACAGATGGCACAGGCACAGAAGATAACATCAAAACCAGGATCGGAAGGACGCAAGACAGGCCTTCATTAATCTGAAATAATCAGTGTGGAGATCTACCCTCAGCATATATTTCCAATTTTAGTAACTCTACTGATTATTTACATATTTATTTCTAAAACATCATCATGTGATTAGTAATTTGATTAAAAAACCGAATACAGCTATTTGATCATACGAAAAGACAAGACGTGGTTTCAGGGAAGAAAAAATTTTCTTTTCAACAAAGTCATTTGCTAAGCTGTACATTCGTGAATATAAGTTACAGTGGATAAAATGTTCCAAAATTGTTTTCAATCAGGGGGCAAAATATATTGAATGACGAAAGGAAGTTAATTAATACACATTTATATTTAGAGTGGGAAAAATAGACAGGGGATTATGAAATTAAATGTAATTACATAATGCAGGATAAATGTATGGCAAAGTAGGAAACTGAACGAAGGGCTATGACGATAAAATTGCGACTATGTAATATCGGATAGACCTATGACAGAGTAAGAGAATAAACAGGGTATTATGAAAATAAGATTGTAATTACGTAATACAGGTTCGATTTGATACAAAATGAATCTGTGACAGACAGGGCTTTATGATGGCCATGGCAAAGATAAAGGTTGGACGTACCTCTTTTTTTGCACGCATAACGCTGGTTTGAACTTCTGGGTGGCTAATGCTTCAGCTGTAGACAGATGCCTTGATTTTACTCCCTTCGAGTGGTTTAATCCAACCCTGTAGAGAATTTTGAATGAGCTCTCGAAAGGAACTAAGTGACCTGAGTTCACTAGGTGTTCTGTTATCGAATTAAAGATGCACTTCCGTTCTACCTTTGCAAGCTAGGCTGGGTAGTGTTTGCAGACACATTTTACAAGCGGACGCATGGTACGACCGATGTCCTCAGCTTCACAAGAGCAAGTAAACTGGTATACACATATTGATGTGGCCCAATGCATCGGCTTGTCTTTCACACATTGACCGGAAAAGTTTCTTGCAGTAGAGAATGATCCGAAGGTTGGCGGTGAAATATGTTCTGTTTATGGATTTTGACAGTCGTTTCCTCAAGATCTCTGCAGCAATATGATTTTTGAATTCAAGATTCGATAAAAGAATCGTTTTTGGTTCCAAACATGTTCATTCAGTTGGGTCCTTTGGCTTTATGTTCTTATCTATGAATCTGAGTGGGAACCCGTTTTCCGCTATAGCTTGTCGAAGTATTAAATTGTAAAATTGTATATTAGTTTAAAGTTCAAGATGAAGACTTAACTGAAAAGGAAAATATTTCTTCGTTCAATCAGATTAACATGAAACGAGTTAAGCATTTCTCACAGTCATAGGATATACTTTATCCTTCAATTGTTCTGAGTTGATTAGTGAACTGACCATGATATACATGATACGAAAGTTCATGTTGAACAGGGTTTACTCTCAACTATTCACGTTTTAGTTATGAATGAATTTTCGTTTTCATATGTGTCTATCCATATACTTTATTGAACTTAAATGATAATCGACCTATTAATGTCTGTTTTTGTTGTTGTTCAAGAAAAAAGAGAGAGATACAGAGACAACAAGAACAAGAGATTAGTGGTTAGGATGAATTTAGCTTCTGAGGTTACTGATACACATTTTTTTTCCAGATTTTTTTGTTAAGTTGCCACTTTAGGTCATGTAAATCAGGCATAATCTAGCGTTAGGGTTATTGCTTGTATTATCCCATCGTTGACTAGACCTAGTTGATTGATCTTTATATTGGCATATAGGCTCCTGCACGGATGCGTCGCTTTTGCCTATTTTTTTGATTATATAGTAATGATGGATAGTGGCTAGCAGTGGGATCCAAGATGAGCATTTCGTCCTATTCGGGACTCGTCATCTGGATGTACCGGTCCCGGGTTCGAATCCCGGTGAGAACAACATCACTCACTGGGAAGTAGGTACATCCGGCCGATGAGTCCTAAATAAGTTTAAAGTTGATAAATAAAGGCTGAAAATGTATTGGTTCTTAAGAGGTACAAGCGAAGTACTCAACAGTTTGTAACATCTAGTACATATTACAGAGTCGAATAAAACCGCTCTTTGTTATATGTTCAAAATGGTTGTCTAGTGTTTAAACATATCTGGAGCCATGCAATTTAACGGTGGGAGAGAATATACATAAATGGCTGATAAAACAAGTGCAGTATGAATATTTGATAACCGTAGGACAAGAGCCAACCCTCTTCATATATAGAAAGTGGTCACTTATATAAGTACAATAACAATGGTAATAATATATTTGCTTTATTCTGAACCATAATTATATTTACAGTACAGAATTCTCAGAGTCTAATAATACATCAACTTACCCATAGTAAAATATTTTTAAAACATTATGGTTGTGAGACTTCGGACGTTACGAAAAGCATTTCCACCAAACTACAGATACACATCATTAATAGCTGCTGCCTACGCCCGTTCGCTCGATACTGAAGATCAAATCAGATGACCAGAATAGTAAGATTAAGCAACAAGAAATTTAGGCCTGACAGTAAACCAAAGAACCAAGAATCTATCGCCCCACAAATATGCAGAAGAAGGTAGAGATGGATTGGATTAGGGATAAACTGAGTTGATCAATTGGGGACCACGTGACAAGCACTCCAGTGGAACCCAGTTGGGAAACAACGAGTTGGGTGTCCGGGGGTGATATGGATTAGATGGTATACTGAAGGAATGAAAGGTTATTAGAAGTAGTGGAGCTAGGTTGAAAAGAGTGCAGAGAAGAGATTGAAATGGAGACGTGCTACTGAAGTCCTCTGTTCCGCTAAGAACCCAAGGAACAAATAATAATCATTAAGAAGAAATCTCATCTAATTAAGGTATATTATTGGTTAGTGTAATCACTTCACAGTTATTCATTAAATAGGATACTTCACTTACTTTATTGAATTACCATTATTCGATTCTTACAGACGTCTTGGCATATCTTATGTACTGGCTACTGGTGGAGCATTGGGCACTGCCTTAAGTATTAATAAACAAGTTAAGGTAATCTACTTTTATACTATAATAATATTATTTTGTTTAAATTATTAAAATGTCCTCTATTGTTTATTTTATTTGAATAAACTCCTTTCTTTATAATCATCTTTTACTTATCTTCTGTGAAAAGTGCGTTGTTTTAATTATATTTTCGTCTAGCTCATATTGAAAATATGATCGGTAGAATTCAGTCTGAACTCAGGTTACAGGCAACATGAAATTGGTTAGTCTCTTGTGTACAACCATTATATTTAATCTGAGCTTGTATGAAGTTAATCACAACTTGAATAGCTCAGTTTTAATGTCAACTGACTGTAACAATGAGTGACATAAGTTTACAGATACGCCTTGCTAACGAATGTCAACAATTGTTAAGCTAAAGTCTAGAACTCCCTACTGATTGCTTTCAACCCAACCAAAATCTATCAGAATACACCATGATGGTGGGATTTCTAACCTATGGTGACCATATCACTAAATGATAGATTGGTATCAATCAATAATCAGGACTAGATATTAGTAAATCGATTGCGCTCCAATCGATGTAAATAAAAAACAATCCTAGTCTGTTGTTCTTCTTGTTATAGGCCGTTTCAGTAATTAACTCACGATATATAAGCTCTGTCTGTAGTAGACAGTATGCTTCTTATCGGATAGATGTCTCATTAATACCCTGGAATTGACTAGTATGGCAGTTACACAATGATGCTCTTCTATTACTGCTAAGATTTTGTTATCAATATCATCAATATTGAACAATATGATTAGTTCGAAACCATTCTGATTGATCTTCATATTTTGGTATCCAGATAACTGTCATCTGGCTAGCAAGATCTTGTGATCTGCGTTGTTCAGCAGTCTATTTTGTTAGTTCATAATGCTTTTGTGTCTAAAATCAAGCATGTATTTTTACCGCAATCTTTGGCGGGGTCACGGGTGCCCCCTTTTGAGTAGTCCCTTACGAGAGGGAAACAGGTGTCAAGTGCTTCCAGGTTTCCAATTTCCCCTCAACTAATATCAACCGATGATGAATACCAGCTTGAAAGCAATAGTAATGACTCAGAACCTGTTCCAGATGTATAGGAAATCCTACTACCTATATCACAAAGGAGGCGAAGCGATTGGGACTTTTCATATATAAATAACATACTGTTTGAATGTATGATACTGTTGTGACCGAGTGATGGTTGTGCGCGTGAGTATAGTGATACTGAGACTCAATAAAAATCAGCTGGATACCTTTACGATTGACCTCCCTCAGTACCTTCTGCTTTACTGAGCCGCGTAGAAATCAGACGACAAAGACGGCCTGTGACTGCAAGAACAGGGAAAACTTTTACCAGACAAATACATAACATATATTTACTTACAAAACTCTCAGAAAGTGGAGCCATAAATGAACCAATCCGATTTCTTGCATGAGGTTGAACTTCTCCAATCAGATTCTCAAGTCAGCGCACACATAAATCACGACCTGAACATGATCGGATCATGGCTTGAAAACAACTCCCCTATTGGCTGCCTTCTTGTCGCCACGTATCAGATACAACCAATAAGTCAAGTAAAATGAAATTATATTCTACCGTAGTGCCCAAGAATTAATCCTTTATTAATTTAGTATTTTCTTAAATATCGTGGCAGCGAAAGAGATAGAAGCATGGCAATTAGTTATCATTACCTCTATGGTAAGATTTCTTACTTCGTGATTGAGTATCATCGATCAAAACCTTTAAGGTACTTACATTTCGTCAAGGTTTCAGATCCGTCTTGATGATGAATTTCTGCAAGCTGTAGAACAAGGTTCAAGGTTTTTTTCTGATTCACTCCTATCACATATATTTATGTTGTTATCTTTGATGAGCTTCATGTTTTATTTGTGAAACTTTCATGGACAAACAGAAAGAAAAATCATCATAAAACCTTGCACACAAGTCGATCAGCTCAAGTTGCCACACTTTACAGAAGTATACAAAGAACAACTGGATAGAAAAAAACTGATATCAGAGTACAAAAAGTTATGTGAGAGAATAAACAATTTGAAGATAATGCATAGTGCCAATATTCAAACTTTAGAAGACATAAGGGACTGAATTTATCTGCATCACTAGGACCAGTTTTCAGGTATCCCGCTAAGATTTCTCAACTACTGATTCATATTGTCTCCAGGACTCCAAACGGCTCAAACCAACAGTTATGGGAACAGTTATGACTGGTGTCACATCTTGATCTAGCCACTTTGAACTCTCTTTCAACCTAATCCAGCTTCCCCTAGCATAGCACGTGGAGGTAGGTGGTACCTCGGCATGCACAACACATCTCCAAGCCACTTCAATTGATAAGGTTTCATGACTTCATCAATCGACTTGTATGTCTTGCTTAATACCCTTCATCTGACCCTGATATTATTCACGCTGTGATTCCACCACACGTGATTAATGGTACTAAGACACCTGTCATCGAAAATCTGTAATCGCTTCATGTCTTCTACTTTCAACGTCAATCTTTCGCACTCGTATAACAGGACAGAACGGACTACAGTGCAGCATACTCGTCTTAATGAGATATCTCGCCAGTGGGCGCCACAGACCATGCAATTTATCAAGTGCTAAACAAGTCTTCTGTATCCGAGCTGAGATTTTGTTAGCAACAAGCCTGTTCGAGCTGATCCAACTCCACAAGTAAGTGAAGTAGTCGACACATTAAACCACTTCACTCCCGATCATTAATTGACAGTCATAGGGAACCAGTCCTGGAGCATCATCTAACGTTTAACAAGTACAAGCGAGACACATGCCAAGCATATTAAGATTTTTGCTCAACCTGTTTAGAAAACCCTGCATTTTTTCCAGCGTCTTCACCTAGCAGAACTGTATCGTCTGCTTACTCCAAGTCAATCAGATGACTTCCATTGAGTCCATCAATCGTTTCGAATTCCGACCCACCTAAGGTTATGTCTATTAGTATATCTTTAATGAAGTTGAATAGGAACGGTGACAGTGGAATTCTCTACCGGACACCACTAGTCGTCATCGAAGAACCACTGAAAATCTGGGACCTCTGAAGAGCTATTTGGTCCTAGTAAGGGACTCCTCAGCAATACGCACCTACAACCTAACCAGGCATCGAAATCAGTATCTTCAGATTTCATGGTGAGCGTGTTAACCATTCAGTTCTAATGAGAAGCTGTAACGTGTGGGGTCAACCAGTTAGTCGGAAGTGGAGTGGATGCCAACTGAAGACCTTGGTGGATAGTTGCACTATATCACGAGTTGATAGAACTTTGGAAGAGCCTGAATAGTCGACGTGCTCGCTGTGAAACTTGAAGATCGTGAGTTATATCACTGGTGCGTCCGTGGGTGTACGCTGCTGAAGAGTCTCACACTAGAACAAAACTGATAAGTCACTGGAGAGTAACCAGTTTCGTGTTGTCTAATCCTAATTACCGACAGGATTCTGTCGATCATTTTGCAATATGGATACTAAGCTAGAAAGCTTAACGTGGGTTTACATTTCGACTGGTGTTATTTGATTGGAGGCAATCGACAAGAAGTCCTCGACTTAAGTTTCGTATTCATTGGGACTCGTCAGCAGGACTTACATTACCTACAACCATGTGGACCATGGCTTCCCGCCGACTGGTTGTTTTAACATGTGATGAAAAAATACAATGCACCACAAGTGCCAAATCTCTTAGTTTAGTGGCTATATTGGGATCTTGATCGATAAACTTAATTCAATTCTGAATATTAAGAATTCGACAGTTGCATTGGTTATCTACTAGGGGTCAGTACGAGTCCTCAATTCCTTCAGGTGTTTGAAACCACTAGTTAATATCATTATAATCTAGTAGTTTGCTCCAGCTTAACCAGGTTGCATTCTCTTCCATTCTAGTTCTAGCGATCTTTGTTGAGATATTTGTTGAACTGTTATCAACTTTCGCGAGTCAATCTCTTTTTCATCTGTGATTAGTTACCTACGATTTCTATTTATGAAGAGATAATGATTAGGATTTAATATTTAAGTTGAGATATCTGACATCTTCATCTTATTATGGGTGTTGAATCAAATGGTGAAGTATTCAGTTACCAACCACACAGTTATGAGTTCCGATGTAGTCTATCGATGTCAACCCTGGATTCCTTTGTAATTAATACACTAGTTTCATCAGTGATATGTAGAGTTACATGGACTTCATGATATGACAGAAACAAATGGTATATGAGCTCGGAACCTTCCCTGTTATTTCTCTACTGTAATTTGAAAGGTTCGAATGTAGCCCCTAAAATGATCGCATGTTTCAAGCTGGGAATCGTGATCGTATCTCACTTGTCATACAAAACGTGGTGTCATATACTGTTATTTTGTTGCAGCTTTTTGTCTTTACATTACACTGAGTTAACGTTTTAAATAAACAAATAGTAATGACTTTTGTCGTAACAGACAGACTGAGGAAATCAATGTAGAACCTCTAATGGGAGCCCATCAAGTCATGCTGCCATACTTCATAGAAGTACACAAAAAACAAGGGGATAGTGAAGGAGATAAAGGTTAGTGTGAATGTTCAAGCTTTAGAAGATGTCAAGGAGTGAATACATCTGTGCCATTGTGACTGTTTTTCATCCAGTGTCACCAGGATTTCTCCACCACTGATTCCACTTGTCTCAGGTACCCCAAACAGATAGCCTACACCTCCATACACAGTTCACATAAACAGTCAAGGAATTCATAGATTCTTGGTTGTATTGTGTTCTCTGAGCTGGGTTGTTTAGTTGTAGACCTTTTATCGTCTTTCTTCTAGACAACTTCAGTATGAAAAGTCAATGAGTTCTATCAAACTTGAACATTTTAGTTTCATGCATTCAGAAAGGTCAAAGGTCAAGCAGAGGAACAGCCAACAAGAAAATCTATACAGTCAATGACACAACAATCAAAGGAAACAACCAATCACAAACCAGTTGGCTAGGGCAAGTTACTGAATCAATCATGGAGAGATATTGACAGCTCACTTCATACTGAAGTCAATACTGATGATGTTGTCTAGAAGAAGGATGATGAAAGCTTCACGATTAAACAACTCAGCTTCTCAGAGAACACAATACAATCAAGACCATTTACATGAGGTACAAATATTCTCCATCAACTCATAGACTTTCAGATAAGCTTTGATGATAAGTGATCAAAAACACAAAGTCTAACTTCATTATCTACTGACAATTGATTCCTAGTATACATCGTCATTTTGTGTACTGGTAACATTTTAATAATTGCCTAGTAGACTTAGAACGGCACTGATGACTTTATAACCAGAGCTATTACTGCTACCGTTTTATGATCAATTCTTGTAGATAGTATTGAAGTCGTTCTTTAATCTCAATTGATATTTCTTATTCATAATTTACTATAATAAAAATTTTTCTTCAGCTATGATATTTTTTCATTTTCTTGTAGAAATTTCCTCCAATTGTTGGTCGATTTGTACCATTTGTTGCAGTCTCTGCAGCTAATTGTATCAATATACCATGTATGCGAAGTGCAGAATTATCTGAAGGAACACCGATATTCGATGAAAATGGTGAAAAATTGGGAAGATCAACGATTGTAGGGCGTAGAGCTATCAGTCAAGTGGTCCTTTCACGCATATTGATGGCTTCTCCTGGAATGGGTAAATCTTTTAAATTATTATTATTATTATTATTTTCCCCTTGGGTTCCTAGTGGAACATAGGGATTCAGTAGCACGTCTCCATTGTACTCTCTTTTCAACCTGGCGCCACAACTGCTCACAAGCTTTCATTTCTTCTTCACATGATCTCCTCCATGTCACTCTCAGCTGGGACGCCCAACTCATCGTTTACTCTTTGGATTCCACTCGACGGTTTGGCCTGTCGTGTAATATCCCCAGTTGGTCTTCTCAGTGTATGCCCAATCCATCTCCACTTTCTTCTGCATATTTATTGGTTAATAGGTTCTTGGTTGGTTCGTTCCAGAGTGAGTTGCTTGTTGCTTATTCTTGTTATTCTGGCCAGCTGATATTCAGTATCGACCGTAGGCGGCAGCTGTTGATGATTGTCTATAGTTTGTTGGAAATACTTTTCGTCACACTTCAAGTCTCTGAACCATATAGAAGCAATGACTTGACATTGGTGTTGAAAATCTGGATGTTGTTCACGCTTTATGCTGAGTGCAGAAGATCTCCACACTGGTTTCAGGTTAATGAACGCCCGTCTTGCTTTTTCAATCCTGGTTTTGACATCCTCGTCTGTGCCGCCTGCAGTTGAAACAGTGCTGCCTAGGTAGATGAAAGAGACTACTTCCTTTAGGTTTCTCCCGTTCATGATGATTGGTGCTTGTTGTTGGTTGGATATCTTCATCATCTCTACCTCTGTCTTCTCTATATTCACTTGAATGGTGTCCCGTGTTCGCTGCCTCACCTCTTCTGCCAAATTGTTAGCTTTTGCCTGTAGATCTTCGAGTTTGTGCCACAAGACATTTGACATACATCATCATCGTTGGCGAAATCGAAATCTTCAAGGCTCTTTTCATGGGTTCAGCCAGTAAATGCCTATCTTCTTGCTCCTCACGATTCGCTGCATGATCTGGTCGACCACAATCAGGAAGATCATGGGTGATAGTAGGCAACCTCGTCCTACTCCTGTCTTCACTTCAATCTCATCATCACTGAGCTTTCCATTATGTATCATTTAGCCTGTAGAATCATCATCGTCATATAGCTGCCTTTGAATGAGGTTGATAAAAGTTTGTGGCACTGAAACCATAGTGTTGAAGCAGCTGCCTTCCAAACTACTTGTCGGTTGACGCTGTCGAAGGCCTTTTCGAAGTCGATGAAGTTGAGGTAGAGAGTTGACTGGCATTCTGTGCTCTGTTCTGTGATGATGATGCGCGGCGTAGTGTTGCAATTTGACCGACACATGATTTGTTCTTCTCGAAGCCAGCCAGCCTATTTCGGTCGTAGTTTTAAATCCAGGATAATGCAGCTTAATATTTTGCTTGGGATTGACAGGAGCATGATTCCGCTCCACTTCTTGCAAAGACCTAGGTCTCCTCTCTTTGGGAGCTTGACAAGGTAGCCATCCTTCCAGTCGGCAGATACCCTTGCTTCCAAACCTTCTGCAATAGTGGTATGAGCATGTCTGCTGATGTTTCCATGTCTGTTTTCAGTGCTTCTGGAGGAGTTCTATCTGGTCCTGCTGCTTCCCCGAATTTCAGCAACTTTATAGCTTGGCGTTCAGGACTTTTGCTTTTGTCGGAAAGTTTGTGTTCACTGGTAATTCTTTGTCTGTTGGTGGTATTTCTGTACGAGTTGCATATAGTGGTGGTGGTTGGTTGAAGAGTTTTTTTAAAGTGGTTAGCCCATCGTTTCTTTTGTTTCTTCTCTGTGGTAACTAAGTTTCCTTTACTGTCTTTCATTGGTTTCGTTTGCGTTGATCTCTTCCCAAATAGTAACCTGGTTATTTGATCTAATGTTGTCAGGTCTCTCGGGTGAAGCTAAAAGTTATCTCCATGTGTGTGGAAATACGAACATTTTCTGTGTTATATCTTAATATTCTACCTACTTGCATGGTTTTTACAATGCCATCTGTTATTGAATCGTGTATCATACCGTTTATTCATGTACAACGTGTTACAGCTATGACAGTACTTCCACTTCTTAGGCGGAAAGTAAGTACAATTATTCAAGAAGAATGGTGCTTGCAGATCATAGTGAGTTACTTGAAGCTTCAAATTACATCTAAAAGGATTTATTTTTCATTTCAGGACTTTTCCATACAGAACATAGAAATTACATATTTTCAGTCAGAATGGTATAACACCTAAGGATAACTTTTAGTCTCGCCCGGTGTGTCTTACCTGCAGCCTGTTCTCCTTCGGTTGCAAGTGTATCGTAGAAGTAAAATACACAGTTAAGCAACGAAATTAAAAATTCAATAGATAATCTGATATAGCACTGTGACTTGAGACAAGTGACACATAAGTAAATTTAGACAACACGATAAGATCACAAGAGATTATCTGAAGCCTATGAACTGATCAGAATCACTTTGTAGAAATTCACAAGGTTATTTGGATCAATACAAAACGAAAGGGTAACAAAAAAAAGGATAAGAGTAGACAGATAAATCAAAACAGAACCTGAAATGAAGGAGTATCTGTTTAAGTTGTCACACTTCTCATCATCACTAAGGAAATTAAAAGTGGATGGAGACACCAAAGCTTATAACAGTATCATAAAGAGAGAACGTATCAGTAGATGATGAGTAATGAAGATGCGAAAGTGAAAGAAAGAGTGCATACATCTACGCTGTTTTGACCGACTTTGAGCCGTATCACCAAGAATATGCAACGATTGATTCCTACTATTACAAGAATCTCAAAAAGAAGGCTACCATCTCCTTACTCGATTCACATCAGCAATAAAAGACATCATGAACTGGTGGCATATTTCAGTTTGATCGCTCTGATATTTCTCTTAAATGAATCCTACTTTGGTTAGCTTTACTCACCGAGATAAACACTAAAATGTTAAATTCAACTTAATCGGTGAAGGTTCACAACCTCTTCGACTGACTTATATACGTTTAATTTCCACATTCTTCAAATAATGACTTCATCACTAGCTAGCGATGCTACGAAGGCATTTACGATTAAAGCCTGTAACTTTTTCATATCTTCTACTATTCGTGTCGATGTTTCCAAATCTTACAGTTAGACAGTACGGATTGCAGCACAGTATACTTAGCTAGGAGTCAATCAACAATTATATTACTTCACTTAACTGTATTCACTCAATGATATTCATTTCACTGACTTTTTTGAGTGTGTATGTATACATTTCTGGATCACAGGCTTGAATTTCAAGTAGTAAATCCCAGTATGAAACACACTTCCACCGATTTCATCGTAGGTAACCAAGTGGTAAACTAACACCTAACACAGTAACTAAAAGTAATTCAATTTTGGAAGTTTGTGGGGATTTATTTATTTCAAGTTGGTATTCATTAAGGATCAAATTGCAACTCTACGCTACGCATCATCATAGAACAGAGCACTGATTGCCAGTCAACTCTCTACCTCAACTTCATCGACTTTGAAAAGGACTTCGATAGCGTCGACCGACAAGTAATTTAGCAGGTAGTTGCTTCAACACCACAGTTTTAGTGCCATAAACCTTTTTCAACTTCATTCAACAGCACCTATGTGGTATATGATGCTACATGCCAAATGATTCACAACGGAAAGCTCAGTGATGATGAGATTGAAGTGAAGACAGGAGTAGGACGAGGTTGCTGCCTACTATCACCGATGGTCTTCCTGGTTGTGGTCAGTTGGACTGGACTAGACCGGATCATGCAACCGACAACTGTGATGAGCGAGAAGATGAGCATTTGCTGTTTGACCAATAAGAAGACCCTAGAAGATTTTGATTTCTCCAACGATGATGGTGATTTATGTCTAATATGGCATAAACTCGAAGATCTACTGACGAAAACCAACAAGTTGGCAGAAGAGGCGAGGTGAGGCGAGCGAGCTAAGACGGGACTTCTTTCAGGTGAATATAGAGAAGACGGAGGTAGAGGTGATGGAGGTATCCAACCAACCAACCAACAACAACAACAAGAAGCACCAGTCACCATGAACGGGCGAAATCCAAAGCAAGTTTCCGCCTTCACCTATCTATTTAGGTAACATCGTTTCAACTACAGGTGGCACAGGCACAAATAAAGACGTCAAAACCAGGATCTGAAAGACAGCGAGATAGACCTTCATTAACCTGAAATCAGTGTGGATATCTACTACACTCAGCATAAAGCGTGAACAAGATCCAGATTTTCAACACTAATATCAGTCACGTCAATGCTTCTATACGGTTCAGAGACTTGGCGCATTACGAAAAGTAGACATACATCATCAACAGCTGCCATCTACGCTGGTTCACTAGATACTGAAGATCAGATTAGATGGGCGGAAAGAATAAGCAAGGAGAAATTGTGGCGTAGTAACGAACCAACCAATAACCTATCGCCAATCAATAAATGAACAAGTTCTTAGTTAATCAACGAATTGCCAATAAGGTTTGGTTCTTGTTATATCTATCTAGAGCGAAGAGGAGATAGAAAATAACTTTGTGAAGTCCAGATGATTATGAGTTTTAGCGTCAGCTATTATGCCACACAGACTTATATTCACAAAACTCTTCTGCTATCCTGTACTTTATATGTTCTAAAAAATTGTTTGAATATGCTTCTCTGGGAGTGGACTGCATATGACACTTACCAACTAGTAGGACTTCTGTACCACAAGACATGTATGTTTTCTGAAATCTCCACTTTTCTATGCCATAAACAGGTTTATTGATAATGAGCTGTTCCACCTATGTTAGATTTTTTGTAGGATTGAATTATTTAGATGAATTTGTGGCCGACTAACTGTCAGTCTGTCCTTATTGTCTTCATTGCTGCTCGATACAGATTCGAACTATTGATAGACTATGCATTTCATAGAGATGATAACAACCATCAGATCTAAGCGAATGGAATCTCTATCGAGCATCTGTAAGCTCATTACAAATTTTATATTTTGTTATGTTGTCGAGAGACAGTGAATTCTTTGATGGATAGACCCTAGTCATCACTGAGATCCGTTGCTTTTCAATATGTGTAATTTATTATGTAATAAGATTAGACAAGTTGTTCAGCGTGAAATCGATGTTTTCTAAAAAGATTATGATAATTAAGTGAAATAACACCGAGAACTAATCGAAGTGAAGCCAATTATAATAACAATAATAGTGATAAAGGAAGGATATAAAAGGTTAAATTAATAAAGAGGAAGGTAAAGCTAATGGGGGTGGGAAAATGTCATAGCTATGGTTAAAACAGTGACTGTACATACTTCTTTTGTACACACAGATCAGGCTTTAGTTCATAAATGGCTAAAGTCTACGCTGTTTTCAGGAGTTGAAAAGGAGGAAAGCATGGGAGGTTTGGGTGAATTTGATAAATAATTTTAAAGTTATTGTCTGGGTTTGTTGAGTGATGGAAATCAATCATATGTTCTAGAATCGAACTTCTAACAGACTTTCTTTCATCTTTATAAAACCAAGCAGGAACATGTTCTCGTATACGTGTAGAAAGCATTCTCTGGCTAGGGTTGATGTACCTTACTCCACAAGAGCAGGTGAACTGGTAGATACCAATGAAGAAGCTTATCTTTGACACAAAAGTAGAATAGTTTACAGCTGGTAAAAGTTAATTGAAGTCTTGCTGCGAAGAAAATTCTACTGATTGGTTTGCATAGACGATTCTTTAGTACATCTGATGCTAGGTCACCTTTAAGCTTTAGGCTCATAAGCAATCTTTTCTTTGAGACCGAGTGGATGACCGGTTTAGTGTTTCTTTCCCGCATATTTTTATCAATAAAACGACTAGGGTAACCATTTTCGACAAGTATGCTTTTTTAAAAACGATAGCTCTTCATGGATACAGTCGTCACTACAGATATTTCTTATTCGATAGTAAAGAGAGTGAATAAGATTTCTTTTTCTGTTGATGGGCACCCAACTATAAAAAATTAGTTAGTTGTCCATTCCACGTTGGTTTTCTGTAGATGGATCTTTTAAGGTACCCATTCTGACATCGGGTGAGAAGCACATCAAGAAAAGGAATAGTTGATTCTAATTCCTTCTTTATGGTGGACTTGAGGGTTGGATAACATTCATTGAGTGAACGAAAAACACCGTCTAAATCTACAACTTTGTCACAGATAACAAACTTGTCATCCATATATCTTCTATAAAAGTCAAAGCGATTAATAGTTTTGACAAAGTTGAGAATTCTCTAGTTTCGATATGAAAAGGTCTGTTTCACCAGCTTCTTCTCCCTCTTTGTTAATTTAATCTTTGTATCCTACCTTAATTGTCTTAAAATTGAATAAAATAACACTGGGAACTAATCAAAGTGAAGGCAATTATAATAACAATATTAGTGATGAAGGTAGGATTATTATTATTATTATTATTATTATTATTATTATAATTAGTCTCTTGGGTTCCTAGTGGAACATAGGGCTTCAGTAGCACGTCTCCAATGAATTCTCTTCTCTGAGATCTTTTGAACCTGGTTCCACGACAGCCTAGAAGCTCTCATTTCCTCCTCGCACGACCTCCTCCATGTCACCCTCGGACTTCCAACTCATCGCTTCCCATGGGGATTCCACTCGAGTGCTGGCCTGACGCGTGATGTCCTCAGTCGGCCTTCTCAGTGCATGCCCAATCCATCTCCACTTCCTGATGAAGGTAGGATACAAAGATTTAATTAACAAAGAGGGAGGAGAAGCTGGTGAAGCAGACCTTTTCATGTCGAAACTAGAGAATTCTCAACTTTGTCAAACTAATAATCGCTTTGACTTTTATAGAAGATATATGGATGACAAGTTTGTTATCTGTGACAAAGTTGTTGAAAAGCTGTACATTCGTATACATATGATATTTAAAGACTGTAATCCGTGAGGAAGATCCAACTTAAATAATGGAGGATTGAAATAATGATAGTAATAATAATAATAATAATAATAATAATAATAATAATAATAATAATGTTTCTAGTTGATGACGTCAAGGTCGAATGATAACAAAAAGGGTTACGTAAGATTTTTTAAAAATCGTTTTTAAGGTGTATATACATTAAAAAGGGGGTGGAAACGTGGCAGAGTTAATAAACAATCAAAGGTGATCGGGTAATATGAATGAGACAACAGGTTAATTGGAATAGGCTGAAAATCTTTTGTTAAAGGTTGCAATTATTAGGAAGATGAAATGAAATAACTCCGGAAACAGTTAGATATATAAATAAAGTTATAATGATGATATAAGAATATAACCATCAATCCGACAAAAAAGGGGGGAGGGCCTTGAAAAACGAAAAAGGGACGAAGCAAACCAAGACTAAAATAAATTAAGGCCAAGGTAGAGACAAAGACTGTACATACTTCTTTTGCACACAAAGCTCAAGCTAGTTTCAGTTCATGGATATCCAAGGCCTATGTTGGTTTTGGAAGCTGAACACACAGGAAACATGAGATATTTGAGTAAATTCGATAGACAACCTTAAAATCATTGTTTGGGTCAGCTGAATGGTTGGAATCGATTAAATGCTCAAGAATAGAACTTCTGGTGCATTTCCTTCAACCCTTATAAAACCAGGGTGAAATATGTTCTCGTATACGTGTTGATAGCAATCTCTGACTACGGCCGATGTAACTTACTCCATAGAAGCAGGTGAACTTGTAGATAAACATGGTTGTGACCTGTTGAAGGATTTTGTCTTTTATACAAACGGAGAATAATTTACGACTGGTAAAGACCAAGTGAAGTTTGGCTGAGAAAAAAGTCCTACTGATTGATCTCAAAAGACGATTTTTCAGGATATCTGATGCTGCATCACCTTTAAATTTCAGATTCATGAACAAAGTGTTTTTAGAAACTGAGCTGATGACTGGTTTCACGTGTCGTTCTGGCATATTTTTATCGATAAATCGGTTAGGATAACCGTTTTCCACAAGTGTCCCTCTTAGAAAGTGAAGTTTAACTTGGATACAGTCGATGCTACAATTGTGCTGATTACCTTTATTATAGTTTGTTTGAATTTCACTTTTTGTTAGGGGGAGGCGTATATCTTGGATATCAACTGATCGAAATCAACACTTTTCTCATGTTACACTTTTTTTTGTCATATGATTTGTTTTTCACCTTTCAGCTATTCTTCCTTTTGTGATGGAGTCATTAGAAAAAAAGAAACTACTCATTCGTTATCCCTGGCTAGGAGCTCCTATACAAATTAGTCTTGTTGGTGTAGTGTAAGTCACTATGAAAATGCGATGTTTTATCCCAAAGTGAAGCCGCACCTGATACTCTTTTTTCATTTATAAATATTAATCTCCTCAGTTTTGGCGGTGAGATTGTCGGCAGTAGAAAAGTTGATGTCATTCCATAGATTCATGTGATAGATAGTGGACTATATCTATTGTGCAACAGCTAAATATACCCCCAAGTTGTCCAGAACTAAGTAAGTGGAATGGCGTTCGTAAATGCGACCCGCTGTTTAGAAGTTAACTGTCTAAACTAATGAGTTACAGGTCTAATTAATTCATTGGGATAAATATTTGTCTGTGCCCACTATGAAAAAGTGTGCTTCCATTATTTCATTCATCCATTTTGATTCCCGCTTTGAATTTTTCATATAAATCTTATTGATAGTAACTGTATTTCTACCTTTGATTTATTATGCTTTTATGTTCTGCCTGGAAATTCACTTGTGGCTTTGGTTTACGTAAAAAGTTTAGCTTCCTTTAATCAGATAAGGATACTCGTTGGAAATGAGTAGTGTTTGACGAACTTTCAATCGAAATTTTAAGGAGGTTTTATCATCATCTTGATGGATAATTTCTCACCATTGGTTACTGCAGCACTCTTTCTTCACTTTGCGTATTTGAGGCAGGTAAATGTTTGCTATCATGCTCATGTCTGACAATACTTAACTTTCCTACGCTTTAATCTTCAGCGTAAGACATAGCGATGACTGTAACTAAGATGCAATTTACATGCTATAGTATGTTTGATTGTTGTATTTATAATTGCAGTTAAAAATTCACCGCCGGGAATACCAAGTCGCTTTCTAGCTTGATCTAGAACGTAGCATTTTTCTGAAAATTTTGTTGTTGTTGAGATTGTTGCGAATATTTATTACTTAAGATATGGATATGCTCAGTGAGTTTTTCTCTGAGCTAAGGTTCTAGTTGACAGACATTTAACTATCATGTTAGACATTACCAGTGCACCAATGCTTCACAACAAAGTGAAGTAATTGGTTGTGCAAGGATATTTATGACATGCTACTCTGTCTGTTTATAATCTGATTGGTCACTTGATGGATGTGTAGATGTGTCCGGACACTGATTGGTTAACTTTCTGCCTCCAATCTTCTTAGAGGGGAGTGTAACTATATGATTGGTTGGCTTCTTTTATTTGCTTGTAGTACGTTGAGTTTGCGCAGTTGTGATTGGCTGGTTCGTTTGTTTGACTGAAGTGACGAAGACTGTTCCGATCTGATTGGTCGACTGGTATGCATCAGTGGGATGGCTTTACGTTGATTGGTTTATTTGCTCCAACTTTTATGTTGTTGATTTACATGACATATACTAATCAACTAAGGCTACATTCATTTTTCTTTTGCTAATTTTTTGCTTCCCTAGGTTATCTCTCTTTACTCCCTTGTGTTGTGCTCTATTCCCTCAAATGAGTTCAATTCCATTCCATAAACTTGAGCCAGAATTACAAGCACGTATCAAAGAAATTCGGTTGGGCAATGTACCCTCGATTGTCTACTATAATAAAGGTCTGTGAGAGAATAAAAATTAAATAGACATTCAGTCTGAGTTTTATTAACGAATTCAAAATGAGAGCTCTTTTGTTTTAATGTTTGTTTAATGTGCCAATCTCATTTTTCTTGATTATCTCTTCACCGATATTAGTAATTGGTTCATGGTGTGTAGTTCATGTATCAATCATCTCTGTTTTCATTCTGATCTCCTATGTCCTTGAGATGGTTTGTTTAAATTGATTAAATTATTATTGACTCTGTCATCCATAAGCTTATCCCAAGTGACCTTGAAAAGCTGATCAGAGTCCAGATGGATGTGTGGCAGTGCTTGACTATAAGTACTTTACAAAAGTAGATAAATGCCCATCACTTACTAAAGATAGTAGGACTTGATACGCTTACCTGTTCTCCTAGCAATAATATTCAATTATAAAATCAATAACGAGTCTAATAGAACTTAACAATATAAAGTATTTATTCGACAGGTATAGTCGTTCCTATATTACATTAAATAACAACCATATTAAAGGATGGATTAGTTGGCACTGAAGCTTCACAATACTTGGTTTGAATCTTACTGAGACCAATAGTTTGATTATTTGACGGGTTGTTACTTTTACAGGGCTAAATATGCAAACTAAACATTTCAGTAGAGATTTAGTGCCTTCAATAGCAAACTCTTAATTTGCTAGTGTCGTTCTATGTGTTGTCGGGTATTTTGCACACGAATAACACCTAAGTGGACAGTAGAAGGAAAAGTTTGATACAATAGCCGGTTGCTGATCATCACCCACCAATATTTTCATAAGTGGATACATCTTTTACTAACTAAGGATAAGTTATGCGGTAATGTGCATGTGTGAACTAAATATTTTTGTAAATGATGAATCGATATACCATATGTAAAAACCGAGTCAAAGGCCAGTTACCATTTTACAATACAAAGCAGTAAAATACACGCGGTTCCTCTTCCTTAAACAAGAACCTTCGATGACAGTATGCTCTGATACACATGGCAGTTGGTGATGTGGAGTCGCTTATAGCATAGGTCGGTTAGATCACAACAACAGGGTTAACTGGTACTAACAAAGCGGTTCGTATAAGATACCGAAGTAAAATGTTTCCTCCGTAATCTGTCGTATAAAGTCCGGAATTTCTGTTGAAAAGAAATTACTCTAACACGATGTGATTGTAAATTTCTCCAGAGTATGAAGACAAAAAATTGTAGCAGTGCCAAAGCATTCAGTGCTTACAAGATTTGGCTTCATCCTACAAACCATGACAAGTTTGGTCCGCAGAAACAACCGCGAGCGTCATCCGTATGTTGATATTTCTTCGTCCCTCAAAATAAGCAGCAATTCTTCCAATTTAAACATATCAGACAAAATCCAGAGACAAACCCTTATTATTCGACTTAATTACTCGCGGACACAAATAAGTACGCAAGTCCGATTCCCAGGCACCCTCATTCAGGTTAGAGGAGCCCCGCAGTCTTTCATTTAACGTCATTAGGATATGCGACGTTTCACAGTCCCCGTTCTTTTCCAACTTTATCCAAACACTTCAGCGCTCCTAAAGTCATTGCTTTGTGAGCAGCAGACGACTTGTTACAAGCAAAGAACTCAAAGGTCGGTTTACGAAAAGTCCTGAATTTCTGATTAAAAACCATATCACCGATATCATGGGAGGAAGATCAGGTTGAATAAGCTTTTTCAACTGTCTTGTCGTAGGATGAAGAGTCACCTCATACTGGTATGTTGTATCTCATATAATTACTTGTGAGTCAATCTATGTATTTTTCTCCTCTACGACTATTCACCTCAAAGGACATCAAAAAGTCTAGTCCATAAACCACGGTCGGATAGTTTACACCTTGAAACTCGTTTCTCACACCCAGTTGTGAACCAGAGTACATGTCTACTCGAATACACACAGGATCTACACCCTCTTTTGGCGACATCAGACTTCCACAGTATTATCAATCGCAAGGACTACTACAGGTCACTGACCTCCCAAACTAACAAATATAGGTAAATGAAGGGAATGAATAGCAAAGTAATATGGAGATCGATTATAATCAATGTTTCGAACAAAACGTTGAAGAAAGCATCAACTCATTAAATAGGTTTGATATGTCTAATATTTTGGAAGTTTCAATACATATTACAAGCACTTTGAATGAGAAGATATTCACACTAACTTCAGTAATTTTATGTATCTTCCATTTGTGAAAGTACATCGATCTAGTGAAGTTGATGCTTTCTTAATCGTTTTAGTCAAAGGATCCATCATAACAGATTGCCCCCTTATTTGCCCATTTTAGTTAGTGTGGGAGACTCTTCCTATACCTGAAGACTGGTCGATCGCACATAAACCAAAATTCCGTCGCTTCTTTCCAAAACAGATATACAACAAGAACATCGGTTACACTGCGTTTTTTGTTTTTAATGAGATACACTGAGAAAAATGCTGAAGGTATCAACGAAATGAATTTATTATTACAAGCACGCCTAAGAGCCACCCCAGCAACCACTGAGATAATCAATAAGGCTTCTTTATTTCAGTTGAAAAGGTGGTTTTTCATAAAACAAAGAAACCTGGTTGGTTATTTCAGCAGTTGTAACGGCGACCTTAAAAGCAACCAACTATTACACGCACAACTTTCATTTACTGCGCGTCTATACAGCCTTGAGGTGTGTTTCGAAACTTGTAGTCTTCAAACGTCAAAATTTCAGTTATGGGAAGAGCAAACTTATTGTTCCAACCGTTCTGTTTCTTCGTCATTTCATAGCCTTGATAACATTTTCCATGGACGAGATGCATTTGTTGTCCTCTGCCTTGAGGACCAATAGGAGTAACAATATTACTTAATAATACAAACTCTCTCCTGGTAGTGACGGTACTGATGATCTGCACTACAATAGAAGTCTGCGGAGTGCATTTCTTTACTCCCAAAAGACTCCAATAGGGTGTCCAGCTTCTTTTCGAATACTGCAAGTGAAGGAACTGTTGTGCACTAAAATACATTTAAGTTTAGAATAAACAATAGTTGAAATAGCCAAGTATTAGAAAGGTAGTTTCCCCATTGAATAACAAAACCTAGTTATCCATGTTAGTGGTCGTTATGGTAGCCTCTAAAGATTGGGGCAGAGAGCTACTGAATTTGGCTGTCCTTCAACGACCAATGGCCCTGAATTGGCCGAGTAAGTTGAAGGCGTCTGTGAGATTGTTCCACTGGACTGTATACTATTAAAAGGACTTTGACGAGTATAAATAGTCTGATCCGCAGTTTCAGTGGTGATTAATTCGCCTGAATTGAAGGGAATTACTCCCTGAATTGTAATCTGCCACTCTGCTGATTCCAAGGTGTTTCTTCATGGGCCCACACATCCGTTGAAACATCAAATTATTGACTAGAAGCTCACACTATTTTGTACTGCATTGCTCAGTCACGAATTTTAAAATCTAGCCTAAACTTCTACTTTCACTACCTAAACGTAACACTTTAGTTCCGAGCAAGTTCGCCATACATATTAAGTCAAAAATGCGACAGACAGCAGTGAGTGGGTAGTCTCTGAAGCAAGTATGCCCGGAAATGACTTTTTCGCTGTTCGTTAGCCGCTTTATGATTAACATTCCCAAGTTTCGTGTTTGAAATATAAGCGTCATTAGAGATTGTCCTTATGCGACAATGACAAACGCATAGTATCCACGAGTGAGTGATATATTCGATGAACCGTACTGAAATGCCCCTACGCTCGATCAACTTGGCTAGGGAACTGTGCAACAACTCCATAAAGTGACACATCAATGTGGTAATTGGCGTGGTCGACTGACCGAATGATCTCAGTTTAACAAGTCAACTAAACCCATGAAGGCAAACATCAGCGTTGAGTTTTGAAATAGTTGCAATAACATTTTGCTTCTGAAAAAGAGCAAATCCGTTCTTACACGCGGAAGTATGCAAGCGATGCAGTTAACTGATACAAAATGTCTATTCCTGTTCGTAATTACAAATGGCCGAAACATATCTTACATTGACATCACATGTCTTGAAATGTCTTGGAATTATACCGTCGGTGAAACCCTGTAAGAAGGTGACTTACTAGTTGAGACGGAGTTTTTTTGGTTCAGCGCGCAAAAATCAAAACATTTGTCATAGAGAAGTAAAAGGTGACAATGCACAACTGAGCCCAGGACCACGGAACACTAATGTCTGGTAAAACGAAAAACTCACCATTAGCAATAATGTTGCTGGTTCACTGTATAGGAAGTTTATCCATGGCGTGATCACTGGTACCCGATAAACTTTCTTCTTGGGTACAAAGATGCAGCCGACAACGTGATTAGGTCACCGAACATTGTCAAAAAGCCGTATCTCCTGTTATTTCATTTCACTTCTGTATCGAAAGATAGTAAGAGACAAATACTTCCGCATTGGTGCATTCACGGTTGTATTTACTCGCTATAGGGCGATGAAATTTCGCTGTTCTACCTTGTCCAAGTATTACTTGCACCACTTTTATACACTGTGCACCCATTTATCCTCACCCGTGACACTTCTGGTCCAAATTATGCGTCGGTACCTATGCCTCGTTAGACAACCGCCTTGCTGTTAATGTCCTCGAAAACAGTCCGGTATTTTCACGAGGCATCAGAGTTTCAGAGCATAATTTTGGCTTCATCCCGTATACGATGGCGCCAATCCTGTCAGAATCCCTAACGCCTCAATGTGTTGTCAAGGCAAAAAGTAGAATACACTGCAACCTGCTAAAATCCTAAGGGAGGGTCATTATCTGAGTGAGAAGTGGTTATTAACTAGTTTCATTTACGTGACGCATCGTCGGCAAGGTTGATGAATTAGGAGGTTGAGTCGATTTTGGCTTGTGATATGGTAGTAACCCACAGAATCTCGGAGAAACTGTCAGGAAGTGAAGGGACTTCTGTGCTACTAAGAATCCATTAGGTTGAACGGTGATAAAACCCGTGCCACAAAAGCTTATATTCCATTTCATTCGAAAACCCCGAGTCAATGGAGAAAGTGGATAAAGCAGGAGTTCAGAGTTGTCAACAAAGGAACAAGACTTTCGTCTCTAGAAGACATCAGATAAACATGAAGATTTCCGTCTCAGCACACACCTACCACGGGAGTCTGGGAACGAATGAACTTTCTACCATGAAGAGGTGATAGCTAGATGCAGTGTGAGCCTGAAAAGAAAGTTCATGATGCTCTCAGATTTGTGGATAAAGTTTAAGCCTGTGC